CCGACCTCCTCATGGCGTACATGGATTTTTGCGCACACTGTACAGTGCAACTTTTACCACAACTCGTTCCATCTCTATGATAACATCACAACGTCCAGGGATCCCAAGGACACACTGACTCGTTTTACAAATCAAATAACTTTTTTGACATTCATGAGAAACCGTGAAAGTTTCGTGACGTTTCCCAATGGTTAGTTTCACGCATTTCCCTAAGATTTCGCTGAAATCTGTCAATTGTCCACGGGCGGTGGTTTGTATTATCTGATCCGTCCTCGCATAGGCTGGTAATTAATTCGGAGTCTTCGTATGTCACTTGATTGTACCGATTCAAATTGTGACCCAATCACGTTTGTGTAGATTCTTGGTGGATGAAAATATTTACGAGAAGTGCCAAAGCATCCCGTTTTAAGCAATAGTACGACTGACTTAAAGTGATGCTTCATAGTTACTCATCGGTTAACTGTTCATCCGGGACACAACCGTTATCATGATTCCCACCAAACTTGGGTCCGAAGAGGGATAAGGATGAAGAACAAATATCGTATCAGACACAACAGCAACCTGTTTCATTCATAATTTTCGTTTACCGAAATCCAATTGGTGTTTGCTTACCAGTCCTCATCAATCGAATACACATGTCAACTGAGGGTTTTATCGAGCACGGAGCACAAAGCCACCGAATACATACTTTGCGAAACCTCCATCAGTAGAAATGCATTAGAGCTTGGAACGTTGTTGCATCATATCATCCGACCCTTCATTGTCACACATTGCGTCTCGGGCACAATCAATTTCGAGTTACGAAATCGACGAACGAGACTGCACATAAACACACAACAACCTGTATATTATCAATCCACAAGCTGATTACTATGACCGATTTCAGTTGAATAGAAATGCAAAAGCACGAGGGACAGAAGTAAGAAGAAACAAAAATCATCGTCTAAGATGGTATTCAGACAATGAACATCATGCCGATAACACCTTTTGGAAGTTCGCTCGTAGGAATTTCGACTGTTTGCTCATGCAAGTCAGGTGAGCAAAGCTGCAGTGCTGTCGGATGAAGAAGTTGGCATTAGTATCCCTGTCACCACTGCCACAATGAGAACGCGATTTCGAAGACTCAGAAATCCAAGCTTCGATATCGGTGAGTCAAGCAAAGTTCAGTGCCAGAATAACTCCAAGATAGTGAGTCGATACTCTTTACAAATATATGACTTATCAATGGGAATGCCGGAGAAGTTACTGAATACATTTTTGCAATAGAGATCAAGAATGGGGATAGAATGGTTCCCTGGAAAGCCTTAGTGTGAATTTAAAGAAGAACGGAATAATAGTCGTGCAGGTTGTTTAACATATCTCAGTAAATATCACTATCAAGATGAAGAGGAAGCAGAACAGCACCAGAATGAATGAAACTAAGGACGCTAAAGTGGACAAGAAATATTACTCGTGAAGTAAAGATCCGAGGGATATCGCTGACAACGCATCTGACAGCATCCGTGGCTGGCACTGAAGTTTTGTAGACCACTGCGTCCGATCAGCATAGTAAAACAGCCAATCAGGAGGTTGAGCAACGTACATTTTGGCACCTCTATCATGTCAGAGTCGCAAGCTCTCGGACGATTCTTCTTTGAACTCTTCATGGGTATCGATCGGATTTGAATAGGTTTGCATTAGTGCATTACCCAATATAAACATTGAAGTGGTTGGACAAATGCTTTGTGACAAAAAGTTGTTCATAATTATGCACAAACTCATTCAGTAGGCCGAAACAAAAGAAGCTCTGGAGACTGGTAACTCTCTTTGAGAAAAATGGATATAGGATCGATGCATGTGAGTTATTGGGCAGTTTTTCACAACTAAGAATACTGATGTATAGGATGGTTTAGTGAGGAAAGCAGTACAAGGTTTACGGCCATTACTTACTTTTGAAAAGTCAGCGTGCATAAGAATAATTTGTGAATCACTGTTATCCTTGATGTGGTTACTATTTTACTGCTTGGAAGCAGCAAGATAAGTATGGTGTATATTTATGTGGATACGAAAAGTGTTCAGTTCGGGAATGGTCGAATCTCACTATCATCATGTGAATTCACATAATCCCATTTCAACTGATCAACATCATTGAAATCCAGAGCAAGCAGATTCAAAACAGCGCGCTTGTTTTAGCCAATCCAATGGTACCTGTTACAAGAAATACACAAAGGACGTGTGCAAGTCAAGTATATTCTCTGGGCAGGTAATACTAGTCCAACGGATCATATATTGTAAAAAATGTCTTACTTACCATCAGTGGTGTTCGTTACGGAGTCTGTTTTGAATGGTGGAATATGATTTGAATTATATCATTGAAAATTCCCAAAGACAAAGGAGCTTCAACTTACATTTATTTATTTCAGAAATAGCATTTTCATTATGGAGAATTGTTAAAAGTATAACGACTGAAATTCTATTCGACAAATGTATAGAAAATGGTACTTTCAATACTGATTTATAAATAACAAAATGTATTACCGATAACGGATACGAGATTGGATTGTATGTCCTACACGATATTACTGCGAACGAGGTGACGAGAAAATAATGCTTGAGTTTTTCAAAAATGGGATGGGAAGTAGAATGAGATTGGAATATAAATAACTGTAATTCATGATAGTGATAAAAAGGAGTACCCAGTCCATTGGGAGAATATCATCCCGCTTAAGTAGATCCTCACCAACATATTTCACTTGGCGATTAAGATAATTCAGAAATTTTGAGCTGAACGAGAATATGTTAGTCAAATTAAAGATTTGGAATAATTGTCTAATTTCAAGTAGTCTTTTACAACTTTTACATTAGAGTGTGATCTCTGTGCACCAGGTCATCAGTGGGAATGCGAAGTCACATTTTAGTCTTTTCCCGTACTCACTCAGCTGTGCTACGATCCCATCCAAAAGAGGACACCATGCAGAGGTACGTGATGGAACCAAGTAATCCAGTGAAGTCAGTTCGGATCATAGTAAAACTGAGTAATACTGACAATTCGATTCACGGGAAACATTTGAGAATCAACAATGAAAAGCAGTGAATAACGAGAAACACAGAAAGCATAGAAGAGGCAGAATAGAGAGAGAGACACAGGGAGAAAGAAAACAATTGTCGAATATTTTCAACTTCCCCTGAGTCCAATCTGGCATTTCCATTCGCTTAATGATGCTACAATAACCACGAATAATGCATAATTCGATTGGGCCATATCAGGCACAAATTACACATGTAAACGGACATGGTAGAGAGACACTTAGCAAACAGCCAATTTTCACGCGGATATAGATTTCACATTCAAACCTTATGAAGTGGTACGAATGCGAAACGGGATACGATTTGTCTTACCGATCTGACTACAAGACTGATGGCCAAAAGTGAAGTACTTTACGAGGTATTTTCTTTCAGATTGTTTGATTGATGGATTTTTGTTGTAATCGCATTTCCTACCTTTCTATCCTTATTCGTAAGAGGGAAATATTAATTGCTCCGAAATTGTATCGGATTACCAGAGAGTTCGTAAACCTCACCACATGGTCCGTAAGGAATGTGCCTATCATAATAAGGATAGCATGGAAGCTGCATGACACTTCGCGGCTCTTGAAGAGTGACGGAAAAAGTATGTCGTTAGAGAGGCAACAGTATCCGATTTGTTGTGATCAATTGGTAATGCTGATGATGGTTCATGTCGAGGATCTTTAGCAATGAGGTTTAACATGCCTTCAAGGTGTCTTATGTGCATCGTACGAATCGCTTTTCTCATTCTGCCACTAATGCGGTAGATCCAACTATTTAATTGTCCTATATAATCAGATTGAATTGGTGTTCAGAACGTAAACTCGTTACCGAATGCAATAGGGCTGTTAGAAAGCAATCTGGAGCACTGGTTTCATAGCCCTGACTTCCGAAAAATGAATCGTATGCTGGTTTGTACCCGTCGATATTAGAAATAGTGTAGTGTTTTTGTTCTTGGATTTAACGGCCAGTGTTCGGTTGTTCTCCGTCATCTTTTCGATTTCGTTGCACCGGACAGCCGTTCAGTTAAAGTGTCATTGTGTGTGTGCCGAACATTGTTCGTAGTCGTACCGACACATCAGAAATCGCACAATCGACTAGAATCTCTCCTGTCTATCATAATCGCCTGCTGGAGATGCGTCTGATGTGCCTCTGCTTGCGCTAAATATTGCGTAGCCGATGCAGGAATGAACCATCGACTATGTATGTTGCTTCGAATTTACGAATTGAAATAATCTGGAATCTCAGAAATTTCCGAATCCGAAAATGTAAGATTCCAGAAAATGGGCAACGAAACCGAAAAGGTGACTGAGAACGACCGAAAACTGGCCGTTAATTCCAGGAACGAAAAAACTACACTATTTCTACAATTAAAAACCATGGAGACCAGCCAAGAAGGAATAATAAAACAATCTTAGTGGAAGGAAACCGCCGTATAGCAAGAAAGACAGTAACCACCCATTCCCAATTCAGTCACAATATTGCTCTCTTTACTCTCCAGGTATCAAAGCCCTGACGTGTACATATAAATCATAGTAACTTTTATTATTCAATTATGAAATGCAGTTAGATGCATCTCAAGCAGCTGTCATCCTATCCTTATTGTGATAGGCACATTCCTTACAGACCATGTGATGAAGTTTAGGAACTCTCTAGTAATCCGATACAATTTCGGAGCAATTCATATTTCCCTCTTACGAATAAGGATAGAAAGGTAGGAAATGCGATTACAACAAAAATCCATCAATCGAACAATTTGAAACAGTGTACCTCATAAAGTACTTTACTTCTGACGATTATAAATTCGCTGAACAGCAACCAATCTATTTAGACATTGTAACGTGAAGAATGATACACAAAGCACCAATTTGGAGCACTCGGATTTCTTTATAGTCATGCAAACTGGTAAGCCAAAACCGAGTTACTTTCACCAATTAAGGTAACCATGGACTCACAGGTTTTGGGAACAGCGGACTGCACAACAGTGAGTGATAAGCTTAGACATTCGCAAAACTCAGCATCCAAAACCCACGATCCATCGGCCCGTTGCAAATCGACCAGGCATAATAGCGGATCACGTTCTTTCGGCTTCACGGATGATGGTACCGGTTGTATTTGCCCATCCTCATCATCATCATCAGCGCCCATCTCGAATTCGTAATCTTAAGCATGCGAAGAAAGTGTGAAAAAATGGGGTTGGTGCTGCATTGCCTTTCTTGTCTGGTCAATTTATGTATCATTCACATTCGCACATGATGCATTATTCTTCCGTTCGACTTTCACTAGTGCGTGCGAAGCATGTCTTCGTTTCACACCGGCTTGTCCAACTCTGCCAAACACATACAGCTAGCTCCGCGTGGGACAGATATCAACTGATTGCTTTCATTCGTTTATAACTTCCTCATGCTTGCACACTCTTTTTGTTCCTACAAACGGGTCTTCGTTCTATTACTATATTCCGAGACACAACAGTGGTATACTTGAGCAGTTTACAACAGAATGTTGAATGCATGACGTGTTCGACTGGGTTAATCCTAACATACTAAATGAGCAGACTTTTCTACCAGGGCACAATAATCTATCGTGGAAAGCACGAAAAATATCATCCTATAGTAATCAGGATCCAGGCAGCCACGTTGTCGTTCGACTAATGTAAGTGTAAGATCTTGTTATTGCACTTACCAAGTTTCGGCTTATGCAGATTTCTCTTAAAACGGTTTGCAGATTGGACATCCGCCAACCCCGTTGGACGATCACTAATCACATATTACACTCCAAAGGTTATCAGGAAATTCAAGAAATCTGACGAGTTTTTCTCAGTCAACATTTCGTATCACATTTATAATGGCAACAAAACTTCATTCGTAAGCACATTCTTGCTAAACAACTCCTACGATAGATTGAGAAACGACACGTTAATCGTCACAAAAACGCAGACGAAGTTTCACCAAATCCATTAGCTAACGGAACAAAGTAAAACTAAGTGATGTGGAATGAGAGTGGAAGCAAAAATAGAAACGATTTATAGCCCATGGCTAACCGAAGCAAAGTGAGACAATTTGCACCCTAATATTCGAGTGTGATTCGATTGTTATCCTAGGTGCCACATTCGTGATATAATAAAATATTATAAATCAAAATAAAGACTACTGTCATAATGAAGAGCAAATTTCCAATACAGAGTTCGAGCACTTAGTTAGTCTCAGCAGTGACAGGATTGAATTGCACCTATATTCAGTGTGAACACAAAATCACTAATTAGAATTGATCGATTCTAACAATACTAAAAACAGACCTGTTCGATCGGTTTACGAACAGAAATTGAAGAACAGATGCAAACAGTTGGCAGCTCACTGACACAACGATTCGTACCAAGCAGTCTGTGGTTCCAAACATGGAATCATTGAAGAATGACATTCGCTCTTACAGAAGCCCGTTCGCGATCTATATGTACTTACTTCTTACCAAGCCCAGTCAATCACTTCCCAACAAACACTTTTAATATGGACGAAGGAAAATCTCCCAATAAGTCGTATTATTGACCTCTATATATGGTTTCCACGTGATTTTCAACTAGCATAGACTGCGGTCATGAGCACACACGATCAACGAAGTACCAGTCACACTGAATAGTACAATCAACAGAAACACCAACACACGCTCAAGGCCACTTACCACATTCGACGTCAGCAATGCCTGAAAAGCGTGGGTAAAAGAAATTAAATTTTCGTGACATTTAAACAGAGTAAGTTTACCGTGAGGGACATCTTCCATAAAACAATGGTTTTGCCCACTTGGATGGGGTTCTGAAGGGTACTAGAATCAGCATACAAAATCTAAGAAATAGGTAATCGGAAATCGTGATCGATAAAAAGCATACAGTTTGCCTACTGGAATATGCAGTTTACCGAAATCCAATTGGTGTTTGCTTACCAGTCCTCATCAATCGAATACACATGTCAACTGAGGGTTTTATCGAGCACGGAGCACAAAGCCACCGAATACATACTTTGCGAAACCTCCATCAGTAGAAATGCATTAGAGCTTGGAACGTTGTTGCATCATATCATCCGACCCTTCATTGTCACACATTGCGTCTCGGGCACAATCAATTTCGAGTTACGAAATCGACGAACGAGACTGCACATAAACACACAACAACCTGTATATTATCAATCCACAAGCTGATTACTATGACCGATTTCAGTTGAATAGAAATGCAAAAGCACGAGGGACAGAAATAAGAAGAAACAAAAATCATCGTCTAAGATGGTATTCAGACAATGAACATCATGCCGATAACACCTTTTGGAAGTTCGCTCGTAGGAATTTCGACTGTTTGCTCATGCAAGTCAGGTGAGCAAAGCTGCAATGCTGTCGGATGAAGAAGTTGGCATTAGTATCCCTGTCACCACTGCCACAATGAGAACGCGATTTCGAAGACTCAGAAATCCAAGCTTCGAAATCGGTGAGTCAAGCAAAGTTCAGTGCCAGAATAACTCCAAGATAGTGAGTCGATACTCTTTACAAATATATGACTTATCAATGGGAATGTCGGAGAAGTTACTGAATACATTTTTGCAATGGAGATCAAGAATGGGGATAGAATGGTTCCCTGGAAAGCTGTAGTGTAAATACGACTTTCAAAGTGAATGAAACTATGGACGCTAAAGTGGACAAGAAACATTACCCGTGAAGTGAAAAAAACAAACGGTCGCCATTAGTGCATTACCTAATATAAACATTGAAGTGTTCGGACGTCGGCTTCGATACATGAGAAGAGAGAAATTGTGATGCATTCTTTTGTACTAAGAGGATAAACCACAGCATAATGGGTAAAATCGTGGTACACTTGCCTTGCTGTGTTGTGGTCATGACGTGAAATGGGTTGGGTGACTGACGAGCTAGGCTTGCAACAAATCAGCACAAATCTATCAGTCAATCGAGTGGCAATCGAAGAACAGCAAACTTGGACAAACCAAATGCATATATAGCTGTGAGGAAGGCGAACCTCATTGAATAGGATTCTCAATCGAGTTTTGTCGTACATGCCTAGAAAAGTAGATAGGCATCACGAAAATGAGTTGTGGAAGATATACCACTGCCCGCACTTCTGCCAGTGTTTCTCATTTACTCCACCGGCATTGTTACTTGGGACAGGTTCTACGTATGCCCCCTCATCGACTTTCCTCGTCAGATTATGCACGTACAGCTGACACACAGAAGCAGCGTGACACCGATCTATCGAAACGCTGACGTCGGGAATAGCCTTTGCTGGCCGATAGTTTCATTGGATTTCCAGAGTTGCCAACGTTAAGTACCCTATTCTCGGAATTGATTTCTTTTCTGCATTCTCACCTGTGGTTGATGTGAAACACCGTGTTCTGTTGGACAAAAATACGTCTATTGAAACACACTGCACGGGTACCTTCATCAGCTCCCTTGGAATACGTCCCATGACGATGCGTGTTTCTCAATAAACCACAAACACGCATCTCAAGAGCACCACACAACGTCCAACAGCACACTGTCCCCAAAGGTCCACCGATATCGGCGCGTCCTCAAAGGTTAGTACTTGAGCGCCTATCTCTAGCATAACCAAAATTCGAACAAATGCTAATTTTGAGGATATTTCGGCCATCAAGCAGTCCTTGGTCCTCCCCACTCCGTATTATTTCAAAGCACACAAAGACTGCCACCCGCTCTCACCAATGCCACGGTACCCAACCGTTACCCAGATTCACACATTCCAACAGTTTGTGTGACAAACACATTTCATCCAAACTTGATTTGATAAGGGCGTATTACCATATTCCCGTTGTGCCAGAAGATGTTCCGAAGATCGTCATCACGACATCATTTGGGTTGTATGAATTATTGCGTATGACTTTTGGCTTGTGCAACGCCGCTCAATCATCCCAGCGATTCGTGGATCAAGTTCTTCGTGGTCCACACTTTTCTTTCGTTTACATTGACGACGTCCTAGTTGTTGGTACGGACGGAAATCAACATCGCAAACACTTGCGCCAGGTATTCCAACGCTTCTTTCCTCCTCTGATTTGTAACATCCCATTAACTCTAGTGAAAATTCTGTTTAACCTTGGAATAATATCGTTTGATTAGTAAATAGAACAGAATATGCAGATTGTTGTCACGTATGCTTACTCGCTACACACAAACATTGGTCAGACTGGTGTAGGTGGCCACGCCTTGAGGCTTAAACAACGCACACCAGATTCATCTCTCATCTATTGATACACTCCATCCACCGGCTGTCCTATCATCCAAGATTCCGTTGTCTCAAGCCTTGTGGTCGGTACCACGCCAGTGTCGATTACCACCATTGTCGATACATACTAAGTTGTTCGGAGATTATGCAACCGCTTACTGAACTTTTGAAGGGAAGGGCTCCGCCAGTTCTCAATGACTCCCAAAGCTAAATCAGCATTCCAAGAAGCTAAGCAAGTGTTGTCGAAAGTCACAACACTCACACGCTTAAGCAATGATAACAACGCTATTCTCGGATTGCGAACAAACGCCTCCCAAAAATCCATTGGCACCGAGTTGCCACAGACAGCCGTTGTCGTCTTGCTCCCGAAAATTACAATCCTCCAAGACTCGTTGAAGCAAATTGAGCCGTAAACTAGTTGCACTCTACCTGGTAATAAAGCACTGTCGACACCTTTTGGAAGGTAGAAGCCTTTGAGTCATGCGTTAGCTTCAAGCAGCGACCGTCATTCGCCGAGGGAAATTAGACATCTCTACTACATTTCCCAATATACCACCGATGTGAGATATATAAAGGGATCGAGTATTCTTGTAGCTGATGCCCTCTCAACCAGGTACCCATCGACTAACTAACCCAGCGGCATTCAGTTGGGCTGAGATAGCGCACGCTCAAAAGAATAACTAAGAACTACAGAGCTGCCACCCATCGTCCTCCTTGATGTTGAATGACTTGCCCCTACCTGACGGAAATGGTAAAGTTCTTTCCGATATCTCGACTGGCAAGCCTCGACTGTTTGTTCCATGTTCATTTCGTTGCTTAGATTTTATGCATTTACATTTCATATCCCATCCTGGAATACGCACTTCCATCAGATTTGTTTTCGTACTAAAAAACTGGACAAGGATGATACTGACTCGTT